GTCAGATGCCTCAGGTGGCTTTGCTGTATAGCTTTGAGCGCCTTTAGCACAAGAACCTGACAGTATAGAAGAGAAATGGGACGGGGAAGGTTGAATGAATAAATGCGTGAGTCAGAGAGGAGTTCAGAGGACCACAGTGCCATTACCCAGGCAAGCACTCAAAAGCAGAACAAGTGATGCCCAGAACGAGTGGGTATGTGCTTCATGGTACCTGGCAGCTCCAGGAACTCAAAGGGCCAAACAAAGAATGTATTATTCACCAACATCTCCACAGGAGCTGGGTGTAGTCCCAGGGTCACTCGTGGGACAGTCCCAACTCCAGTCTATGACTTATATAGAATCTTGCAGCAAAAGAAGGGATGAATCTTCAAACCTCTTCTAGAGAGGATAGCCCCCTCCTTCCCCAGAGGTACAGAAGAGTCTGAGCCAGGTTCCTCAACTCAGCCGTGCTACTCAGAGCAGTAGGGTTCCTCTGCACTGTGATTTTATCTTTAATGACTCAGGGAGAATGATGGGCCCGCCTCATAGGGCTGAGGTGAGGATTAAACAAGGTGTGTAAAGGGCTTTGTAAACCAGTCAGCCTTACCTAAGTGTTAGCCAAAGGACCAAAACATGAGGAACCAAAGTCATGTCCTCAGTGCTAACTTAGCTGGCTTCTTCCTCTCCAGGACAAGAGTGAAGCCACCAGGGGAGCCCTCTCCCAGAGGCCTTGTCGCCCCAGACCTAACTCGATCCCTCCCAACCTGCCTGAGGAAGAAACTCGCAGGATTGCTCGGATATTCTCTTCCCAGTTCTCCCAGAAAGACTGATGCAGCCTGAGAGATGAAGGGAAGGAGCCACCTGCCGCCCTCCCTCAGCCTTGTCCACTTTGCAAGAGGTACCAGGTCTGTTTCCCCTGGGGCTGCCTCAGCCCTGAAACTACCACCAGCCTAGTCCGTGGACTTATTCTGGAGGAGTGTTCCAAACCAGCCCAGCGTCCACCTTCTAGTACTCCAATTTCTTCCTCTGTGGTGAAGCAAAGACTAGAAACAAAATGGATTCCAGCACCTGAGTAGCCCACTCATCTTTTGACCAAGGGACCCAAGCAGGCATCTTCAGTGGAGAAACTCCTCCTAGTGTCCTCTCGCTGTCTGCTGACCTGAGCCCACCTCTGTGGAATAGGATAGGCCATTTTTGCCTTAAAGATTGGAGCCTGGGGAGGGGTGTGTAGTTTGTATGCATCACATGTAACTGAGGAAATCTTAGGGCCAGCTCCAGTTCATTTGCCTGGGAATAAGGGTATTTTATAGAAATAAATTATTTTTATGCTGTGTTGAATTAATAATAGGAAAGGAAGGGGAAATCACCTCCTTTAAACTGTTTATCTGATTGTCTGAAATTCTAACCATGCTTTTAACTTATTGTTTTTACCCAGATCTGAGGTCATTGTTCCCACTTTGTTTGAATAAAATCATTTTGATGTTTGTATTCATTCACAAGTGTTTCTTGGGTTGGTGATTGCAATGGGGTGCTAGGAATTCATTTGTGCTGTAACTACAGAAAGAAAGCTTGACAGCCATTCAGTTCCCCCAGAGAAACTCATCCAGAACAGGGGACCATGGTCACCATGAGACTTCTAAGCTCCCCCAAATATCAGACTGGTCCAGAGTGACATCAGTCTTTCCTTTATTGGTTCTTCTCCCCTCTTCCCACACACCAACCACCCACTATTTCTTTCCCTTTGCTGGTTCTTGAAATCTGTCAGTAAAGTGGGAGGGTCTCATGTTTCTGATCTGGAACATGACCCAGAGAACATGATCTCTGGGCTAGGCAGCTTGGACAGACCACAGCAAGTTGAGCAGCTACTGTAGACAAGTCTCTGTGGGAGGATAGGAAGGGGCACAGATGTGCAGCGTGTGCAGTGTGGCTGAGCCACAAGGCTGGGAGGGGATTTCCATGGAGGGCCCTGCTCTTCACCCCCGAGCTCATGTCATTTCACTCCAGTCCTCGGAACAACCCTATAACCTACATATTTTGATGCCCCTTCTAAAGTGAAGCCCAACAAAGTTTTGCCTCTATTTATGTAGCTAGGAAATGAATCACCACATAAGATAACCCCAGAAGTGTTATAAGGCTCAGTGACCAAAACAGGGTACAGCCAGTAAGTTCTCTGAATTCGGGGAACCTGAGAATGGAGGAAGAAAGCATAGAGGCTACAGCAGGCAGGGAAGGCTTCCTAGAAGAAGCAGGTCTGAGGTGGGCCCAGAGAATTGGTCAGGCCATGGACAGCTGCAGAGAGAACCAGGAAGGCACTTTGGGCCCCGAGCAACGGGGACAAAGGAGAGCAGTCTGGCTCTACTGTGCCTCCAAGCTCATCTGTAAAGACAGATACTGTAAGAACCCTGGCTTCATGGGGTCGTGGTGAAGATCACATGAGATGACATTTTGTAAAAGTGCTTGGCCTGCAGTTGGCACAGGTTGGAAGTTTAGGAAATGTCAGCTCCACCCCTGCTTCAGAAGCAGGGAGCCAACTAGTAGGAACAAGCTCACCAATAACTGAGGAGCAGAGCACAGCAGGCCGGGCTGCAGAGGGTGCAAATGAGGCAGGAGCCTGGGGCGGCAGCTGGGCTCCCTTTGCTGCCCTGGGCCTGGCCTGCCCCACCGCTGTTTATCCTGGCTCCGTGAGCTTCAGCTTACCAGTGTGCCTCCTCCCCAGTGCCATAGAAGCTGATCTCCCTCCCAGGCCAGCCCAAAGATTCCAAGGTCCAGGGCTTCACCTCCCTTGGGGCACAAGAAACCTCCAGAGTCTAAGGGGTAAAGCTTCAGGTAAAGTATTCCTTCCAAATCCTGTTCCTGTAAATAACCTGATAAGTCAAGTGAGGATAAGGCCACAGGAGGACATGGGCCACTCCTGCCCAGGCTGAGAGTAGCCTCGGTGAACACAGAAACACCCTATGCGACTGAGACCCACCTTTTACGCTCACAGAACATGTTATTTACCAATATCTCATCCCCAGAAGTTGGATACATTTCCCAGTGATAGCTCTTTGAGGCAACATGACTTGGAGTCAGGCAGCATGGATTCTGGATATGTTTGTCCCCACCAACAGAACCAACTAGAGTCTCGCCGACTTGCTTTTGAGCATCTCATCCACAGACACCTAAAAATAGGTGTTTCTGATCATTATATCCCAGCCCAAAGCACCAACCTTGGAACTTCTAGCAAGGGCTGGACTCTGGATACAAGGAGCCCAAGTGGACAGACAGAATCTTCCAGGCCAGAGCAAGCCGAGCCCTCCCTCCCTCTCTCTCAGTTTCTCCAGAGCCTGCTGCTCCCTTTTTTGATTCCAACTTGTCTCCCCATCATGTATCCCCTCTCATCCCCCATCACCTCTAGGCTAGAGTTTCCAGGCAGAGCTCACTCAGAACCTACTTCCCTCAGCCAACCCAATCTCAGCAGTCCCAGCAGCCCCTTCCCTTATACCACTTAGGCACCTGCCTGTTCTGCTGTCATTAAGGGTGGAGACAGATCCAAGGAAAAGGACAGGTGCAGCCCAAGCTTTGCATTAACCTTCTGACCACCTGCCCAGTGATCATGGCTCTGTGCCCAAGTCCAGAAATGGCTTCTGCCTGCTCCTCAGCCCCACCTAGTTAACTCCTTCTCCTTCCCTGCATTCTCCCTCTCCTCCCCTCTCATCACTTCTCCTCCGTGTCTCCCTCCTCTCCTCCCTCTGTCATCTGAGGCCCAAGTTCAGCTAATGCCCAATCCTTATTCTCAGTGTCTATGGGAGGAGTCCACAGTAACTACTGTAAGAACCCTTCCCTCCCTGCCCCAGCTCCCTCTGTCCCCAGCCAGTCCATGCTGAAGCTTCCAAGTGTCACAGAGAACAAGGATCACAGTGGATAGGCCCAAAACATTACAGTCTGCAGGCTGAGGTCAGGCCTTACTTTCTTGTACTAGCCATAGTTCTTGATGAGTCATTGTCCTCCCTGAGACTTGGTTTTCTCCTCTATAAAATAAGCATTAAAATATGAGGATCTTGGGCTTGGGATGTAGCTCCTTGCAAGTATAAGGCCTTGGTTCAGTCTCCTGCATGGTTTAAAACAGTTGGGCACTATACTGTGCACTTGTAGTCCCAGCTACTGGAGAGGCTGAGACAAGAGGATAGCTTGAGCTCAGGAATTCAAGACCAGCCTTGAACTGGACACCATAACATGGCCCCATATTAAAAAAAGAGAGTCCTCAGTAATCAAAAAGAGTGAAGTATTGATATATACTACAGCATGAGTGAGCTTTGAAAACAAAAAAACTCCTATGCTAAGTGAAGGAAGCCAATCACAAAGGAGCACATCCTGTACTTATGTGAAATGTCAAGGTCAGGAAAACTATAGTGACCAAAAGTAGGTTAATGGCTGCCTGGAGCTGGGGAAGAGGGAAGGGATGTGACTACTGAGGTGAACAAAAGTTTTTTTGAGGGATGATGGAAATGTTCTAAAATAGATTGTGGCTATGGTTGCACAACTCTGTACTAAAAACCATTTGATTTTCGAATGGTTTTTAGAAGAAGTTAATTGCATAGTATGTAAATTATATCCCAATAAATCTGTTATTTTTTAAAATTATGTGTTAATGTGAGGGGATTTTATACCTTTATTTATTTATTTATTTATTTTATGTGGTGCTGAGGATTGAACTCAGTGCCTCACACGTGCCAGGCAAGCGCTCTGCCACTCAGCTACAACCCCAGGCCTAAATCTGTTTTTAAAAAATTGGTACTCCTAATAGTACCTACCTCACAGCAGTATAAAAAGTAGAAATAATGTGTATAAAATATCTATAGCTGGCACCAAGATATGATGGCTTCATTGCTAATACTAAGAGGAGGCCCTGAGAGCCCTGCCAGTCTATCTGGGGGGAACTTGATGTTTAGACTCTCAAAGGTGACACTCCATATACACCTGTCACTGAGGTAGCTCTTTCACAACTTGAAGGAATGAAAGGGCCCCAAATCAAGGGAGCTGAACCAGACCTGGAACTCCCTGACCCCCTCCCCTGCCTGCCCCTCTCCAGCCCGCCTCTAGTCAAGTGATCAGACTGTCAACCAACCTCTCTAGGATTARGTTTCAGGTCAGCTGGTGTATAAGACCTGTGCCAAGCCAGAAGCAACAGAACAACAGTGAATGGCCAGGAGGAGCCATCGGATTCCTCCTACCACCCCCTGGGATGGAGCCCTAGGGATCTACTGAGCTGCCCCTGCCCTGGCTGGGCTTACAGGTAAGACAAATTCCCCTCTCCCACTTACCCCTATCCCCCCCCCTTCTGCCTGTTCTCCCTTCCATGGAGGTTTTCAGAGGCAGCTAGGAACCATAATAAACTGAGAGAAATTCAGTCCAGGCCCCACCTTGTCAAGAGGAGGGAACTGCAGCCCTGGGAAAGTCCTCAAACCCCACACCAGAACCGCACACTCGTGCCACTTACCCAGGACTCACCCTTACCCTGCTGGCTGCCTCTGGTGGAATTATGAAAATCCCCACAGATATGAAATGACTTTCTCAGAACTTTGGCTCCAAATCTCCAGGATTCCCCTGAGCATAAAGCCCTCTCTCCCCATGAGGGTCCTGGGGCCCTTTTCCTGAGTAATGATGATGGGGGCACCTCTGGCCTGAGGCCCAGGCCAAGTCACCTGTCAGAGGTTTATGGAGCCCATGGTCACTGCTCAAATGGCTTCCTCAGTGGGGATGCTGTGGAGGGTTTGTCAGGGACAGTGGGGCTGGAGAGGCAATATGGATGGACATCTTAGAAAGGGGTCCTCTGTCCCCTGCTTCAGAGCTACCAGGGGAAGATTTGTGTATATTGCAGATTCCTGGGTCTCACCTGAGACCTGAATCAGGACCTCTAGGCCTAGGACTTAGAATCTGCTCTGTAAACAAGTGGTTCAAGGGATCCTGAGCTCCCCCTGAAGTCTAGGACTCTGGGAGGAGCAAAAGGCACTGGTTGTGTGACAGGCCTAGGTGCCAATCTCAGCTCCATCAATTCAGCTAAAGCCTTCAAAGCAGGGCTACCTTATAATAGTACCTGTACATGTTATAAAGGGGTCAAATTAATGTCTACAAAACCCTCAGCACAGTGCCAGGTGCAGGAAGCACTCAGCAAAGTTTAATGGGCCCCACAGATAAGACTTCCCATCCTCAGGTTCCCCAAGAAAGCTTCAGGTACAAGGATTCTAATCTCGACTTCCTCTTCCAGACAGCAGCAAAAGTCTGCTGGCTTCCAGGGCTCTTCAAGGAACAGTTGAGGAGGGTGGAGAGCAGGTGGAAAGAGGTCAGGGACCCCTGGCCTCAGAGAAGCCTCTACCTTTCCCTGCCATTGTCACCCCCCCACACCCACTCACTTGTGGCTTTTGTTTTCTTCTCAGCAGTGAGGATTGAATTTAGAGGGACTCTATCACGGAAATACATCCCTAGCCCTCTATCTATCTATCTATCTATCTATCTATCTATCTATATTTTTTTTTTGAGAGAGAGAGAGAGAGAATATCACTATGCTGCCCAGGCTGGCCCTGAGTTGGCCGTCCTCCTGCCTCAGGCTGCCAAGTCGCTGGGATTACGGGTATGCACCACTGTGCCACTGTGCACGTGTGGCTTTTGACCTGAGTCTGTGCCCATCCGTTCTGTTTCCTGTGGATGGCTCAGGACTGCCCTGGATGTTGCTCTTGACCAAGTTCAGATTTTAACTCGTCTTGCTAGCAACATTCCAACAACCTCCTCACTGGTGCCTGAGCCTCCCTTCCAGCCCATTCTTGACAGCTGCACCAGCATCCTCTAACACAGGTCTGACAGTGTCATTCCCTCCTTGAGAACCACCAGCCATTCCCTGCTGTCCACTACATTAATCCAGGCTTTTGAAGCCCTCTTCTATCCATCCTCAGGGGCATCTCTGATCTCATTTGCCCTTTCCTCACTTCAGCACGTGGGCTCAAACTCCTGGCTTCTCTGAGTGCCTTCAGAAGCACTTAACGGTATGGAGAAGTAGACAAGTAGATCCTGCACCTGTTGGTGGGGCACCCCTTCTCAAGAAAGTGTGGGGTGCCAGGCATGCTGGCACCTGAAATCCAGCAACTAGGAGGCTGAGGCAAAAGAATTGGAAGTTCAAAGCCAACTTGAACAACATAGATCCTGCCTCAAAAAAATACAAAGGTCTGGAGCTGAAGCTCCCCTGGGTTCAGTACCCACTACCAAAATAAACAAATAAATAAAAGTGTGGAATCAGGGGTCAGAGACGGCTGGGGACAAAATGGATGCAGAAAGGAAGACATGCCTGATGGCCAGGGGAGAGTAGGCTCCCCAGAGAGATAGGCCCAGCCTCAGCAGGAGACAAAACCCATGAAGTGCCCTCTGCAGGTCCTGACCCAGCATAGACCCTCCACATCAAATGGCCTTGGGCAGAGGATGTCCTGAACTTACACACCCCTGATGGGAATCCCACATCTGCTCACTGTGTGGCCCCAGGCAGGCAGGTCAGTTTGRAACATGAAAGTAGAACAAAAACCAWGTGTAGTGTTCTTTTATTAGCATCTGAATGGTTCCCAAATGTTTTATAGAAGGGATACTTAGCCAGCAGGAGACAATAGAGAACACAGCCCCCAAGGGCCTCAGATTCACAATGCCAAGGCCCCTATAGCCCAGCTCACTTCAGAGGAGAAGAGGGCAGGGGAAATGCCAGGGCTCATGGGGAAAGAGGCCACCAGGATGCCATGGAGAGAACCAGCTGCTCCCACAGTACATTCCAGTCCCAGCCTCCCTGCTGGGAAGGAGCCCAGGGGCCTGGCTGGCTTTCTGTAGGGCACAGGGCAGTGGGGAAGGCACAGGCAGAGGGTATTTCTTCCAGCATGCCTACAATATTGTCTCCTCAGCCAAGTTCACCCTGAGCGTCCCTGTGTCACCCCACAAAGCCCTTCCTGGGCTCTTCTTGGGTGGCAAATCAGGCATCAGGAAGACAGACTTAGGGGTGAGCCCAGGAGAGGCTAAGGCCTGACTGTCCCACCACACAGATCTCAGCTACGCTGGCCCATTCTCTTCTCTGCCAACTGGGGCAATGGGGTGCTCAATGACCTTCCTCACCAGGCTCCACATCTGACACTGCCATTCTCACAGGTTATTTTGCACATCATTCAGTAACTGCAGATGGCTTTAAATGCCTTAAGAAAAGACAAGAAGCACTCTACCACATGCACAGGTGCATAATTCCCCTCATAGTTTAGCACCCCTCAAAATGCACACAATCAGGGCTGGGGGTTGTGGCTTAGTGGCAGAGTGCTCACCTAGCATGCATGAGGCACTAGGTTTGATCCTCAGCACCACATAGATGTAAAATAAAGATATTGTGCTCCCCTAAAACTAAAAAATAAATATTTAAAAAATGCATACGATCATTGTAAATTGGACTCATCAGTGAGATTTATATCCCAATTTTAAAAGTTTAAAAAATAAAAATGTAATGAAAATCCATACTGGGAAGAATCAAATAAAAGCATCCTTTCTTCAGGGAAAGACTTCTTAAAGCCACACTATTGCAGGCTTCTAGATGGGGATCCAGTAGCTAGTGAGTCCCAGCCTCAGCCCATACCCCCCATCTTATCCCACCTCCTTTACTCTCTTTAAGTAATTCTACACATGTTCACCTTCCTTATGAGAATGGGAACTCCTTGAGGGCAAGGGCGAAACCCAATTTATTCCATGTCTTTTTTTTTTTTTTTTTTTTTTTTTGCTATTAACTAGCATGGTGACCAAGAAATATCTGATCTGGGTTCTGGGTCAGGGTATAGCTCAGTGGTAGAGCTCTTGCCTAGAATGTACAAAACCCTGCATTTGATCCCCAGCACAGAAAAATGTTTTTTTCATGAAATTGTCATTTATATATTAGTATGAATTAGCAGATCAGTTCCTTCCAAAGAACAGGCTTTTCCAGGGGCTGGGTATGTAGCTCAGTGGTAGAGCACTTGCCTGGCATGTGTGAGGCACTGGGTTCGAGCCTCTGCATCACATAAAAATAAATAAATAAAGTAAGAGTATTGTATCTATATAAAACATATATATATATATATATATATATATATATATATATATATATATAAAGGCTTTTCCAAAGAGAGGTGGTAGCAAGCAAGCATTAATTCATGGAGTCTGAATGGAATGTGTGGCTTGAGGAGGCAACAGAGAGAAGAAGGTAGTAGATGGCAGTCTTGAAAGAAGGCTTAAGAGTCACTAGCTTAACTCCTATTTGGAGTAGGGGAAGGGGTACCAAGTATTGAACTCAGGAACACTCCATCACCAAGCCACATTCCCGCTCTATTTTGTATTTTATTTAGAGACAGAGTCTCAATGAGTTGCTATGGGCTTCATTAAATTGCTGAGCCTGGCTTTGAATTTTCAATCCTCCTACCTCAGCCTCTGGAGCCACTGGGATTAAAGGCTTATACCCCATCTTTGGGCACCCAATTCACTACAGATGGCTGGGGTAATCCATATTCCCATTTGCCCAAGAGTGGTTAAATGTGTACCTAAGATCATGTCACTCATTAGTAAGTCTTGAAGACAGGTTCAGACCCCAAATTTTCTGGTCACAGGCCCAGAATTCTATTGCCCTGTAGGGAAGGTGTGCACACTCTGCCCATTTCACAATTCTGTGGGACTGGCTCTGGCTTCAGGCGTGGGGTCACTAAAGGTTCAGGACCTCAGCACACCAGCAGTGTATGTGAGTCAGGGTGCTCGTGGGCATGACCTGCCAAGAGATGGCATCCTCACCAAAGACCTGATTGTACAAATATTCAGATTACAAGAACACAGGACTGCCTATGATGGTGTGCCAGTTTCTCAGTGTCACCAAGACTAGACATAGACCTTCACATGCAAAAGTGCCCTTGTTAACCACTGGTAAGAGGGTGCAGGCACAAGTGCACACCAGTGTCAGCATATATGTACGTGAACTAGAGGTGTACATGGGCTCTAGCAGGACAAGAGGAGACAGCACATTCACTTGGTCCAAGACTGATCCTCCCCTGTCTGAGATGCTCCTCAGTGGAGTTAGGAAAAAGGGGGCATGTGCCAAGCCAGACAGAACAGCTGGGACCGCCACAAACATTCAGAAGGCGCTGCATTAGCCCACCTCCCTCAGAGCTGACTGCAGGATGCAGCAGCTAATCAGTCATGGCCCACTCTTCTCCCAGCTCCACCAAGAGCATCAGTCCAGGAATCCATCAGTGTTAGGAAGGAATGTCTCATGTCTCTAGTCACAGAAAAGGAACCACAAATGAAAAGAGTTTTATTTACTTTATGTATGAGTATATTAAGGCATCCTTGTGTAAAAGATATCTTCATCCAAAATGAATGACAGTTTCATTGAGTCATGAGGAGTATAAGCTCCAGTTGTTAGGGAGAGAAAGATCTCAAGTGGTGAGACACCTCAGGGAGCAGGATCACCAAACAGCCTGTCATAGGGAGAACAGGGTGTGTGTGGAGTCAGAGCCAGGCCTGGTCCCTGCCAGAGCCTGTTTCTTCATCCATACAATGAAGATATCACCACTARCCTGCTCTCTGGTGCTGAGGGGACAGGGTGAGGATTGCAATATATGAAGGATGGGAAAGTGACCTGTTTTTATAGGCTAAACTCAGACAACTTAAGTGTGGCAATGCCCAGGCTTCTTACTTTCTAAAGCTCCTTCCGGCTGCAGGGTACCTGGAGATGGGGCAGGGTAGGCAACCCCGGCTCCATCCACCTCCCCTGGCCTCCTCCTGCAGCCTTCTCCCTGCACTAAAGCCCAGAGCTACCAATTGACCTCTCTCTTTGGACATCACTGGGCTCTGGAGGGACAGGGCCAATCTTACTGAGAGGATGGTTGGACTGAAGCCTTCAGAAGTGCCTCCCACCACCGCTGTGAAGTGCCTGGGGGCGGGCGCTGCGGCCTGTTTTGCAGATCTCCTCACCTTTCCACTGGATACAGCCAAGGTCCGCCTGCAGGTAGGTACCCTTTGGCCAAGGGTAATTGTTCACATCAAAGGAAGGGTTAGTCACCCTCCACAGCACCTTGGCAATCTGTCAACACACACTTCCTCGCTCAGGGCAGGGGAGGAGTGGGGACTACACTCATTACCCAGGACAAAAAAAAAATATCTAAATGCCTTGGCATGATGTGGCAGGTTCCTTCCCTGATTTGTAAACCAAAATGTGTGAGGTAAAGTTAAGGCATTAACTGTGACCTTGGGCAAGCCACTAACCATTTATAAAAAAAGGAAAACAGTCCAGGTGGATGCCTATAATCCTAGCCACTCAGGAAGCTGAGGCAGGAGTATCCTAAGTTAAAAGCCAGCATCAGCAACTTTGCAAGGCCCTGTTTCAAAGTTAAAAATTTTAAAAGGGTGAAGATGAAGCTCAGTGGTAAAGCACCCCTGGGTAAACCAGTACCAAAAATAATAATAATAATATTAATTAGTTAATTAATTAGTTTATTAAAATGTGAAAAATATCTGCCCCTCTAATTTGTTCTGAGGCTCAAACGCCACACCCCTCCTTTGTGAACCGTAAAATGCTGCACAAACCTCAGTTCTTTTCACTGTGAGGTGATGGTCATGCTTGTCCTCAAGGTCCAGTCAGGCAGGTCCTGCCCAAGCGGGGCCTCTGTGCACACAGCACTTTCTGGGAACCCACCCAACAACTCAGGTCCTCATGGTTGTCCCTCAGATCCAGGGAGAGAACCCGGCGGCACAGAGCGTGCAGTACCGCGGCGTGCTGGGCACCATCTTGACCATGGTGCGCACCGAGGGCCCCCGAAGCCCCTACAACGGGCTGGTGGCCGGCCTGCACCGCCAGATGAGCTTCGCCTCCATCCGCATCGGCCTCTATGACTCTGTCAAGCAGTTCTACACCCCCAAAGGAGCGGACAGTGAGTGTCCGCTACCCCGTGGACGCCAAGGGTCATGCCAGGCGCAGCTCGCACGTGGGTCWGCACACCCTGCCAGGCCAGAGCAGAGGCAGAGCCCGGCCTAGGGAAACTGGTACCAGATGCGGGAAAGGAGGCTCTGACGTGACAGGGACACAAGGACTCCAGTCCTTCCATGGAGGAAGAGGGCCAGCAGCACAGGGCGACCCCGGGATTGCGGGCTGGGGAGAGGGACCTTCAGCGTGCAGCTCTGGCCCACTCCCTCTGCTCTCCCCAGATTCCAACATCGCCGTCAGGATTTTGGCGGGCTGCACCACRGGGGCCATGGCAGTGACTTGTGCCCAGCCCACCGATGTGGTGAAGGTCCGATTTCAGGCCAGCGTGCGCCTGGGGCCCGAGAGCCACAGGAAATACAGCGGAACTATGGATGCCTACAGAACCATCGCCAGGGAGGAAGGGTTCAGGGGCCTGTGGAAAGGTAGGCTCCCGGGGACAGGGGACTCAGCATGGCATATTCCACTAACTCCATATGAACGTCCCCAACAAAGAAACCTCCCACACTTGCCTCAGATTCTGTTCAATTTACCAATCCTTCACCTTCTGTCAGGGAGCTAGAAATGAATGGGACATGTCCTCACTCTGGTGCTCTCAGACAGCAGAAGAGATAAGACAGGTCAAGCAGTCTACACCTCAAATAAGATGTGCCAGGTGCCCTGCCAGAGGTGGGAGAGACCAGGCTGGCCCCAGAGAGAAACTGGCACCTAAGAAGGCTTCAAAGACTGAGCAGGCTCCAAGCGTGTGGAGATGGAAGGGCAGGGCCTCCTGCAGGACACAGAGCAAAACCAGGCAATGGAGGAGCCCTATTGAGAGGAGTGGGGTGCAGTGAGACCCAGAGAGGAGGGGACTTCCTTGGGAACAAAGACTTGAGTGTTCCTATATATCTACACCGGTGCCACCTGGACAAATGCTAGACTCTCTCCCACATCTGGGCCAGATGTGTGAATCCTTACAGAAGAAACAGTTGTCCTGTGTAGTTTAAGGGTAGGGTGCCTGGGTCACAGTACTGGCTTGCACTCCATTTCTGGGTGCCCCTCCATCCCCAAGCCTGACCGCCCCCCCCACCCTAGTGAAACTACTCTTCTAGAGTCCTATCAATGCTACATTCTGTCACTGTCCCAAGAACCCAGATTTGCTCTTCCAAATATGACTTCTTTTTCTGGCTACACCTGGTGTCAGGGGGTGCATTTTAATTTTGACAACTATTGGAGATTATCCTCCAAAACATAGCCAAATGAACACAAGTGGGCCCCTCTGTTTTCTTTCTCTAAGGAAGATCTGAGAGCTGCTAACTCTAGAAAGAAGAATGGGATCTGCTTGGATTGGTGTATGTTGTGGGGAGGTCCTCCTAGCTGAGATCATGGCAGTGGGACACCACTATGGTCCCACAGCCAGGACATCCAATTCACCATTCCCCATTCAACAGCTCCTGCTACCTTCTTCACAGGAACTTGGCCCAACATCACAAGGAATGCCATCGTCAACTGTGCTGAGATGGTGACTTATGACATCATCAAGGAGAAACTTCTGGACTCTCGCCTGCTCACTGGTGAGGCCCTGGAGTTGGCATCACCCACAGGCAACTGAGCTTTAAAAGGAGCAGAGAGAAGAGCAATGCCCAGTTCAGGACTTTGACAAGTAGGAAAGAGGCCTGGGCCGCAGGCCAGAGCCCTGGGCTCCAGGCACCATCTCTTACTGTGTGTCTGAAAAAAGGTTTCTTACCTTGACTTCCATTTCCTCCAATAGAGTATTGGGCTAGGTGACCTTATTAACCAGGGACACCCATTTCTGATTTGCTAGGACTTAATGAGAGATCCGACCTGGTACTATGAAAGAGAGAGACAATACTTTCCTGTGCTCAAAGAGTCAAAGTTGAATCACAGATGATGAATGCACGTGGTGCACTCACTCCTTGATATTTGCTCTTCCTCCCCTTCTACAGACAACTTCCCCTGCCACTTTGTCTCTGCCTTTGGAGCTGGCTTCTGTGCCACAGTGGTGGCCTCCCCAGTGGATGTGGTGAAGACGCGGTATATGAACTCACCCCCAGGCCAGTACCGCAGCCCGCTGGACTGTATGCTAAAGTTGGTGGTCCACGAGGGACCCACAGCCTTCTACAAGGGGTAAGCCTCCCCCCTGCCTCCAGCACCCCCTCCCAGAGAAGTTAGTCTTCCTTGTTGTCTAACGTTCCTGCCAGTCTATCAGGAGATGCAGTGAACAGAACAGACATCAATGCCACAAAGGAGAAGTGTCAAGAGTTATGGGAGTTAAGGGCTAGAGCTGTAGCTCAGTGGTGGAGCACTTGCCCAGCACATCTGAGGCACTGGGTTCGATCCTAAACCCCACATAATAAATAAATAAATAAATAAAGGCGTTGTGTCCACATACAACTTAAAWTTTTTTTTTTAATTATGGGAGTTTAAAAAAAAAAAGTGAACCAAACCTGATTTGGAGAGTTAGGGAAGCCTTTTTGAGAAAAAGGAGTATAAAGATAGGTTAAAATACTAGAGGAAGAGGTGGTTTGTAATTCCCAAACCTTTCGGCAGCTTGTCACCCTGACTGCTCATCCCCACACTTGTGTCAGCAGAGGCACCATATTCACTGTGCCAACACTCACGTTTCTGTGCCTTTGCATTTTCTGTTCCCTCGGTGAGGAATGCCTTTCCCTCACCATCTGAATGCTCTTACTCCTAGTCATCCTTTTAGACTAAATCAAATGTCCCCACCCCCCTAACATTCTCATGTATAAGTTTTCCTTTCTCCCTGAAAACTTTGGCATTAACATTTGATTCCATCTTCATCACCTCCTGTCTTGTAATGGAGCGTTTGCAAGGTTAAATTACTCCTTACACTGGAGTGCAAGGTCCTTAGAGCTAAGGACCGGTGGCCTATCTGTCTTTCATCTCCCAGAGTTCCTGGCACAAAGCAAATGCTCAATAATGTGATTTTAACCATCATCCTGATAGCTAAGCCCCCTACATTGTCTCAACAACCCCCTAACTGTGTAGCAGACCCACACTAACCGAGGAAGAGAGTATGTCTCAGAAAAGTAACTTGTCGGAGAGCAAAAGTTAAAATGATAGAGCCCTGGCTCAAACCCAGTCTGCCCAACACCACACCCAGCATGCTGTTGTGTCTCCCAGTGGTAGCTCTTAGCTAGGCCCTCTCACCTCCACCACTGAAGCCATCAGCAGATAGTTAGTTTAGACCCAAACAGCAAACAGAAGCCACTGGAGGGTGTCAGTTGTGGGAGAGTGTTCTGCTAAGTGCCCCTTTTGGAAAACCTTAAGTGATAGCCACTTGTCTCAGTTTATTCTTCCACTTGCCAAAAATTTATTGAACATCTTGTGTGTACCAGGCCCTGTGCTATGCGTCCCTCAAAGAGCAGCAAACAAGTAGGTGACATTAATCAATGCTTACAACAACCCTATAGGGTAAATACTGTGATTTTCCTCATTTCCTTCTCAGAACTGGAGATTGAACCCCAGGGATGCTTTACTACTTAGCTACAGCCCCCTCTCCAGTCCTTTTTAACTTTTTTTTTTTTTTTTTTTGAGACAAGGTCTTGCTAAATTGCCAAGACTGGCCTTGAACTTGTAATCCTCCTATCATAGCCTTCCAAGTAACTGGGATTATTTTTCTTATTTTAAAGATAAACAGGCTCAGAAAAATTAAGTCATCTTGTCCAAGTTTGTAGAGCTAGAAAATGGTGGAGCCTGACTCAAGTTCACATATATTGCCACAATGCTATAGTCCCCATGAGGATCTAGGACCCTCATGTGGTTAAGGTACCCAGGCTGAGAGTGACAAGCAACCAGCCAGAAAGCAAGAGAGTAGGGGACAGTCCAAACAGAGCGAGCAACATGGACAAAGGCAGGGGAGTGAGGAGGCCCAGCATCGTCAGGAGACTCTAACTGGCTGAGTCTGGGAGCAGCAAAAAGGCCTAGGGTAGGAGTGGACACTATGGGAGAGAGGCTGAGAAGAGGGCAGGGGCCAGCTGTCAGCTGCCCCCTGAGCCCATGGGGCACAGTTGAGGTGGGGATGGTCTCCCCTCTGCCACCACAACACAGGCAGGCTCTCTGGAGCTGGGCTCAGTTTGGTGCCCTGCAGGCCTCACCTGCACTGCCCCAGCTTCCCACTGTCCTGGTGGGGCCCTCCTCAGGCCCAGGAACCCCCAGCAGCAGGGTGGAGTCAGGTCACATGGCTCATTTGAACCTTATATCTGGTATTTACTAGCTGTGTGGCTTTGGTTGAGGCCTCCCCTGGGCCGCAGTTTCTAAAACAGAAACCTGATGACAAACATAGTAACCATACCGAATTGTTGTGAGAATCGAGTGCCTGACATGGTAACCTGGCTCAAAATGTTAGTTTTCTTTCCTCTCCTGACTCTAGCTTCTGCCTGAAGCCTCTCGGCAGAGAAGAAAAAATGGAATGGATCTCAGAGAATGCTTGAGACAATCAAGGTCCTTTGGCACAACTCGGTGCCAGTGAGGGCACAGGAGAGCTCAGAGTCCCCTCCTCCTAATGCTGTCGTTCTTTTTTTCATCAGATTCACCCCCTCCTTCTTGCGTTTGGGATCCTGGAACGTGATGATGTTTGTAACCTATGAGCAGCTGAAACGGGCCTTGATGAAAGTCCAGATGTTGAGGGAATCTCCATTTTGAGCAAGACAAGAAGGCTACTTGGTACTTACCTTGCATGAGGCCAGTTAAGGATGGAATAAAGCAGTGGACTCAGTCCCACAGGGATCCAGGCCCACAGGGATCCAGGCCCACACATGTTTACAGAACTGCGTACTTGTTGCTGATTCAAGAAACAGAACTGAAAGAAGAGGAAGGATTTTGGTCTTCAGTGCTTCGTCTAAAATCACCCTTGTTTTGCACTGACTTTAATGGAAAATAAATTATATTAATTTTGAAACCCATTAGGTTGGATGCCTAATATTTAGGCAAGAGTAAACAGATCTTCTGGATAAAAGGGAAGTTTGCACACTTGCATACCCAGATAAATTGGATTAGATGATGACTTATAACAGGAAAGACCACCAGAGTGGGAAGGAGTACACATGAAAGTCAGCTGAAGAGCCTCAAGGGACACCACCGATGCAACCCAAAGCTGAGACTGCAGCCTCCACAGTCACCCAGGGGTCACCTGCCTACTGATCCTCATGAGTCCACCAAGGAGAATCTACTGGGATTCCAAGAAATGTGAGAATCAGAAGGGAAAACTCAAACCTGTGCAGAAGGAGCCCCGCAGGGCCAACCTGAGGCTGAGGCCTGGAAATCTGCCCTCCCAGAGAACACAGGAGAATCAAGGGGGCACCTCAGTCCACTTCTGTAAAATAGGTAATAATCTCTTCCCGGCYTACCTCACCGGGTGTTAGGAAGAACAGTGAGAAAGAAGCTGGGCACAAATCCACTTTATAAAAGCAAAAGCTCCTACAGGCCTAAGTATGAGGACAATGCCTTGAGAAAGATTTTTTTGGAAAAGAGAGTAATTGCCAAGAAGTTTTTGAAAAACACAGTTGTCCAGTGGCAAGACCAGAAGAACCTGGGCTGCAAGTGACAGTGGATGACGGGAGCCACGGGAGCCCCACTCCCCTGCACCCCTGCTCCCTGGCCCCACTGTGAGTTACCTTGAAGGGCGCGCGGCTTGGGGAGAAGAGAGCCTGGCCTAGAGCCTGAAGCAGCTGGATTCAGAGTCTTTGGGAAATTAGTGTGATTCAGTGAAGGAATTCTGACCTTCAGTGTAGGAATAAGAACAGCCGCTTTTCTGCCTTCTCTTTCTTGGATAGAATTTTCTCCCTTCAGGGTTTTTATTTGTCAGGGTGGAGCCAGATCTAACTCTGTCACTGTCCCTTTGACTGCAGGCAAGTTGATCTACYTTCTAGGGGTTTGGCTCCTCCATCTGCAAAAGGCGAAGTCGAGCTGCCTGACCTATTTTCAAGCTTAAGACTGAACATCTTTCAAACTGATAATGGGGACCCACAGAGCCAGTGGCCATTCTTGTTTCTCAGGAGCATGATGTGGCTCTAGGACAGTCAGAAGAGGGTCTGGATCTTACCACACCCACCTTATTAACAATTACCCTCAGGGAATCCTTGCCCCTCAGAGTCCTCCTAGAGAAGCTGATGACAGTCCCTAGCTCACTAGCATGTGGTGGGGGTTGATCTAGAACACCCTGCAATACAGGAGGTCTCCTGTGTCATTTCTTCCTCTCCTGACCTGACTCATCCACATCAGGAAAAAGTGAATCTCCATCCTGCCTCAGTACTTCCTGACATTAAATTGTAACTTGAGATCATCTACATATACAAACTGAATAGCTCAAACAAAAGGGAAAGAAAGAAATTATTTTGATTTAATGTCTGATTTAACCTTTAAATAAAACTTCCACTTACAAGTTTCTTTCTTTTGACTTGAATGATGTGTGCAAATCATTCTTAAATTCCTAATCTCTATTTGTAACTTTCTAGGGGCCAGGAACATGTCTTCCATGAATTTCTATAGGGCAATATTTGGTGGGGTAGGTACCTGGGATTGAGTTCAGGGGCACTCAACCACTGAGCCACATCTCCAGCCCTATTTTGTATTTTATTTAGAGACAGGGTCTCACTGAGTTACTTAGCACCTCACTTTTGCTGAGGCTGGCTTTGAACTCGGAATCTTCCTGCCTCAGCCTCTGGAACCACTGGGATTACAGGCGTGCACCACTGTGCCTGGCTCTATATAGCAATATTAATACATCATTTATTCAGGTGATATTATAGTGAAAGGGGAGGGAGGAAGATAAATTCTAAGAGATTTTTTTTTTTTTTTTGGTACTGGGAATTGAGCCCAGGAGAGCTTTACCACCAAGCTACATCCCCTGCCCTTTTCATTTTGAGAGTCTGTCTCACTAAATTGCTTAGGGCTTTGCTAATTTGTTGAGGTTGGCCTGGAACTTGCCATCTTCCTACCTCAGCCTCCTGAATCACCGGGATTACAGTCATGAGATATGTGATTGGGATCAGGAATCTAATGACCTCCAAGTCCTGTCTTTTGAAGAAAAAAAAAACAAGATTGATAAAGGTTTGAGGCTTCATGAACAAAGTATTAGATTTCTGTTCCTACCTCTTAAAGGTGGAAGTTGAACCAGATAACCCAAAGCTCTTTAATTCTGTGATTATAAGAACTAAATTTCTTCCATGCTACAGCATATGTGCCCATTCTAGTCCTGATCTCAGTTCCAGGAAACCAGGAATGTGAACTCATGAGAAGATCAGATTACCAGCTGAGGCTTACCCAGAAGGCTGACTCCTGGTCTCTGTGCACCTGTTCCCCCAACAGTCCCCCAAATCACAGATGCCACTTTCAACAAAGTCGTTCAAAAAAAGTCTGCTTTTCCTCAAATTCTTCTAGTATATCATGCAAAAATTAGATAGTTTGAGCCCAGACTCAGTTACAACAGAAATCATGTAAATAATGGTGTTATTTTTATTTATCTTCAATTTAATTTAATTATTTGTACTAGGAATTGAACCCAGRGGCACTCTACCACTGAGCTACATCCCCAGCCCTTTTTATTTTGAGACAGGGTTTTGCTAAGTTGCTTAGGGCCTCAATAAGTTGCTAAAACTGGCTTTGAATTTGCCATCCTCTTGCCTCAGCCTACTGAGTCACTGGGATTACAGGCATGTGTCACCACACGTGATATTAAAGAATATTTTATTAAAGCCAGGCACAGTGACACACACCTGTAGAACCAGCTACTTAGAAGGTTGAGGCAGAAGGATCACCACCTCAAAAATAATTTTACAAAGGCTGGGATGTAGCTTAGTGGTAGAGCATCCCTGGGTTCAATACCTATTACTGCAAAACAAACAAAACAAAATATTTTATTAAAGAGAAATTAATATTAAGTAAGGAAATTCAGTTGTATTTCTGTAGACCACTTAATTTGTGTCAGGGCACTTGGAAAACGGCAGAGTGCTATACAAATGCATTGTGTATACATCCTAAGTGGCCCTTTACATTAGGTGCAAAGGTGAATAAGACCTGTCCTGTCTTCCAGGAGCTCATCAGGGTGGAGGATGCTGAGCAGAAAGACAAACCACAAACCACCAATTACCACAGAATGGTAAAAGCTACAAATGAAGGTACATATGAAGCACGCAGGAGAGGGTGCTCAGATGAGGGACACGGACCCTGGTTTAAGAGGCCAGAAGCTTCTTGGGGGAAGACCTGAAGGACAAATAGAAGTTACCCAGGCAAAGGAAGGTGGATGAGAGTCACTCTAGGCAGAGAAGGGCTCGTGCAGAAGCCCAGAAACAAGACAAGAACAGGGCAGCCTTGAGGTTGCCAGCTGTTGGTGTGGCTGGGTTGCAGACTTGCAGGGGAGTAGTGAGAAAGATGGAGATGAGGAAAGTAGAGGCCACATGTTATGGACTGAATTTGTTTCCCCAAATTCATATATCAAATCCCTACCCACTCAGGTGATGGTGTTTGGAGGTGGAGCCTTTGGGAGGTAATTCGGTTTCGATGAGGTCATGAAGGTGGGATTCCCCAACACAGGGTTAGTGTCCTTATAAGAAGAGGAAGAGAAAACCAGAGATCACTCTTTCTCCTCACTGTGTGAGGACACAGGAAGAAGGCAAGCCAAGAAGAGACCCACCCACACACACCAGAAACCCAACTGCGGAACCTTGACCTAAGACTTCTCAGTCTCCAGAGCTGTTGTTTAAGACAACCACTGTATGGTAGTTTGTAATGGTAGCTTTGTGATCTAATATGCCAACACTAGGGAAATTGTAGTGTCTGGGAAATTGGAGTGTTTAAGTAGGGAATAATGAGCTGCAGAACAGAGAAGGAATTAGAGGAGTGCACTCTGGTCCTAGTTGGATAAGACTGTTGTTGAAATCAAGGCAAGAGTCTTTGAAGTGGCAGTTGAGTGGATAGAATAGTCATAAATCAATGGTACTTGGTAAGATTCTATCTGGAAGGAGTAGTGAGAGAGAAGTGCTGCTTACACATGTAAAATAACATACAAATATTCAGTTAACTTTTTAAATTATGGTAAAATACACATAATAAAATCTACCATCTTGCTGGGCATGGTGCTACACATTTGTAAACCCAGAAACTTGGGAGACTGAGGCAGGAAGATCACAAGTTTGAGACCAGCCTTAGCAACTTGGCAAGATTCTGTCTCAAAATAAAAAATTAAAAAAGGCTGGAGAGCTGGGGTTTTGGCTCAGTGATAGAGCACTTGCCTATCACCTGTGAGGCACTGGATTCAATCCTCAGCACCACATTTTAAAAAATAAAGCAAAATAAAGGTATTGTGTCCATCTACAACTAATAAAAATATTTTTAAAAAGCAGGGGGGGTGGTTAGGGATGTGGCTCAGTGGTTAAGTGCCCCTGGGCATTCAATCCCTGGTACCACAAACAAACAAACAAACAAACAACAACAACGACAAAAAAAAAAAAAAAACTTACCATCCTTTCTATTTTAAAAGATACAGTTTTTTGCTGTTGGTAAAATAGTTCATATTGTTCTAAAACCATCACCACCATCCCTCTCCAGAACTCTTGAAACCCTGCAACTCTGTTGAACTTGACTACTCCAAATATCTCATATAGGTGGAGTCATAGAGTATTTGTCTTTTGCTTCACTTAGCATAACGTTCTCAAGATCCATTCATTCAGTCTCATGTCCATTATCTGTGCACACCATGGGTTTTTTTCCTTTTAAATTTATTTATTTATGTGTTTATTTTATAGTAGAATGCATTTTGATATATAGTACACAAATGAAGCACAACTTCTCATTCCTCTGATTGTACATGGCTCAGGGTCACTCCACTAGTACAATCATACGTGTATATAGGGTAATAAAGTCTGTCCCTTTCTACCGTCCTTCCCATCCCCACAACCCCACCCCTCCCCTAACTCCCCTCTACACAAACCAAAGTTTCTTCATTCTTCCCTACCCACCCGTCCCCCCTCACTATGGATCAGCATCTGCTTATCAGAGAAAACATTCGGCTTTTGGTTTTTAGGAATTGGCTTATTTCTCTTAGCATGATATTCTCTATTTCCATCCATTTACCTGCACATGCCATAATTTCATTATTCTTTAAGGCTGAGTAATATGCATACCATGTTTTGTTTATCCACTCATCTGCCAATGAACACTTGGGTGCTTTCTTCTTTTGACTATTGTGAATAACGCTGCTATGAACATAGGTGTACAAATATTGTTAGACCACGACACAAAGAGAAGACCACTGATGCCAATTAAAATCAAATTAAAGCAAGCTTATTATTTCGACTGGCTGGGCTGCCTCTCCGAACAAAAACCGCAGAAGCCAAAGACAGCCCCGCAGCTTTCTTTCTTTTTCTTTTTTTTTTTCTTGAAGTGGCACTCTATGTATTTTATTTCCACGAGTATTGTATCTACCTTTTGGAAGATCAGTATATTCTTTTCTCTTTTTTTAATTGTCGTTGGACTCTGTAACATAATTTTACATCATATATTATTAATATTTATAAGAAATTCTTGAAATCATTTCATTGTGATCAGATCAAAGTATAAATTTTGCTCACAAGAYACACTGTATATCACCTCATAGATTTATACATTTTATCATGCAGAGTTAAAATCCTAACATGGTCACACCTCAATGTAGTTTGTCTTAAAATAAGGAAAAACCAGTATTCATGTAAACAGTACATTATGAGATGTAAAATTTGATTGATAACTCATATAACCTCAAATATACACAAATTATAAGATTATTCTACATGCTCATTCATTTTACATGTAAAGAAAGAAGAYAATATTATAAAAGGCAACATTTGTTAAAAGGCCACTGTGGCTAACTTGGTGTCACTGGAGTCAATACTGCAGCCACTATTAATTTCCTGGATGTCTTGAGGTGAGGAGTTGATTCTGTCAAGGCAGACATCAAGTAATTCAACTTTGTCCAGATGACTGAACAGCCAGATTCCTTAACAAATTCTTTCAAATGCATTGTTTGGGTCAGGTTATTTTATTGCCAGGTCAGTGAAGGCATCAGAGGCCTCTGTGTTGACCTGCATGGAAATGCTTGCTTGTGTGACCGTTGAGGTAAATGTCATACTGCTGGTCCAGACCAAGGTAGCAGTCACTCATGAGATAAAGAGTGAAGATATACCTTCCAGGTATTTCAGGGGTAAAAAAAGAAAGGGAAGCAATGTGATGATTTCGAACATATCCTACTCGTTTTAAAGCAATAAGTTCTCTCTTGTCCATTTCTCCTAATATCAAGAACCATCCTTCATCTTTTGATTTGGGAAATCGAGGGGTAACTGCAGAGCTCTCTTACTTTCCCACTGTTTACACCTTCTTAATCCAAAGCATTCATAAAATGCATTTTTC